TTCAGTGGGCCTCACTAACACAACCTGCTGCAGTGGTGGTGTTTGCTTTCCTCAGCAAGCACAAACCCGGGCAGAGAGGAGCTGGCAAGCCCGGCTGCGTCCCACTGGGTTGTGCTGGAGTATGTTTTATTTATTCTGAGATTAGACCTGTAGGCTTAAATGCATTCAAAATCTGAGGACTTACTGTACTGGCTGGGAAGAAGCAGGCAGTTGCTGAAGCTTCTTTCTGGTCCGCTGGTGCTGGCTCCCCTCTTGCCAGCTTTGCCAGCCCGGGATTGACTCTGCCAGGATGGGAGTCACTCTCCAAGTGCCCTGGGTGGCTTTTGGGTGAGAGCACACTGCAAAGAGTGGGGTGTTATCCATAGGATAGGATAAGGAATGAATCTTAAGTCACTGGCTACAAGGCTTCTTCCTTCCTATTTGTAGGAGTAGCATTTTGTCATGTGTCAAAGAGAACTGATGAGCAACACATTTATCAGGACTTTTAAAGATGGTCCTGGAAGATCTTTGTAATATTTTCAATGAGACAGATGCTACCTACCAAATGTATTTCTCCAAAGGTCTTGTCTTGTCATTGTCTTAGATACAGCCACCTGCGAGAAATCATACATGGCTTTTAAAACTCATCACAAATGAGAGTGTTGTCCTAACCCCAAGCACTACTGGGACAGGGATATGGGCTGAGGAGTTGCTCAGGAGGATTTGCAGAACAACATATATTACTCCTTCAAGATCAGAAGAGCTAAATGGCTGTTTGAAAAAAAAAAAAAAGGAAAAAAGGGGGGGGGGGAAGATCATTTGGAATTTTTCTTACTGAAGTCAGTGTGAAGGGGAAAGATTGTCAGCATCAGTGCAGAAGAAATTCTTGTGGTCAGGAAACCAGTAGCTGAAAGGCAGTTTACCCGCTGGTCTAAAGGGAAGCCACAGAACTGCCTGGCGGAGGAGCAAGGAGAGATGTAAGAAGGAGGTGAGATGCAGAGCTGGTGCAGACCGGCCTGTGAGGCTGGGAGCTCAGCTTAACACAACTGTTTCCTGTTCCCTCAAAAGTTTCCAATTAACAAAGTTTTTCAAACCCCAAAAAAAGCTACTGAAAATAATAATGAAAAAGTCCCTGAAAATGACAATACAGTTTTAAAAGCCTTTATCAATAGCAGTCATTCATCAGGTGTCCAAGTCCATTGATCACAGAACTCCATCTTCCAGCCTCTTTCATAGTTTCTCTGACCTGGTATGGATTTTTCTAATGATTAACACCAATAAAAACATTAATATGATTGGGGGAATTTCCTAATTTCTCCATTATAAATATACAGTACAGTTCTTCACCACTGAGGAAATATTAGCAGCATGTTTACTATTATATCTATTCAGGCCAAATAAATACTAGCAATTAATGATGGGATAAAAAATCTGTGATCCCATGTAACTAATTCTTCCAATGTTTTGCCAGGGAATCAAAATGTGACTCATTTTGTCTCCCCCTATAAACCATGTTCATTACAGAAGCAGAGGAGCACACCTCATTCTGAAGCATTACATTTGGCCTGAGTTTTCCTGTGTGTAATTCCACTAAACTTCAGTGCAACCACACCAGAGTGAGCTCACTGTTTTATCTTTAAGTCAGCTTCCCAATTACCTCTTTATTTATGCTCTTAGGTCACAGTCTGTTAGAGAGGCCATCATCAGATTACAACCTAACTGGATAAATTAGTAATGTGGTAATCTATTAATAGTTTATTGTTTTGTTGTTGTTATTTTATTTAAGGGCAGCCCCGCTAAATCCCAGGAATTAGTCAGCTGCAAAGTAATAGCAACTATTACTGACCCACCAATTCAGCATTTGCATCCTCTAAAACATTACTGAGCCCAGAGACCAACAAGTGTTACAGACCTCATAATACTATCCCCAATTACAATGTGGCTTACAGGGCATGGATAACTGTGAATAACATAGTAAATATCTTCAATTTATAAGGTCATTAACAAGTTATTTGCACTGTGCAGTGTACAGAAAAAGAAAACAAACCCAGCGTTTTATAACATTTTATATATTGCTTTATCGTTTATATATTGTTTAACATTTTATAACATTTATAAATTGTCCACACTATTAGAAAAAAACCTTATGTAAGATAGCTAAAAATAAAAGAATAAAATGGGTAAACCAGGGTTAACCTCTCTCAACAATTCCTGTTTGCATCTTTCAATGAGCGATGTAAGTAGATAGTAGTTTTTGCACAAATCACTTTTTAGGTAGATAACATATGCTAGCAAACATATAGTTTAAAAAGTATTTCCAGGACCTATGGATGTAATGAAAACACTACCACTAGAAAAAACTTATGTATTTAAGACTGTAGACATTAGCAGTTATGGGTAGGCAATTTTTAAAATATATTTCCACATCAAATGTATTCCTACAAAACAGCATACTGCAAGATGCTTCAGATATATGTAGTGAACATCACTTAAATTCTGCTATCAAGTAATTTCTTGCTTTCTTTTGATCCTTTGCTACTTCACAAATTACTTACTCTTAAGTGTGCTTTCTGTGGGCTGGACAATTCTGCTGGCTTTGAATTGTTGCCGTATGACTCTTCCTTGGCACCATTTGTATCTGAAGCACCTAGCAATATAATTATTATTTTTTAATAGGTTTCCCTCTAAATCAAATCTCCCACTCACAGAAGTAAAAGACTGGTCTTGTAACCTCATAAAGAAATATTTTTCTCTTCTCCCTCTCTCACACATGTGCACACTTGAATAGGTCTGTTGTTCCTTTCAGAGGAAATGTCAGGACTATGCAGTGCTGGGAAGTCAAAAAGCATAATTTACCTTTTTTAAAAAAATTGGATGCTCTATGAGGAATAATTTGATGTTGCTGTCCCAGAGATGTAAGTATGTACAGGAGCTATGCCCATGTAGAGATTATGTAGCTAGGTAGATAGATGAGTTGGTAGCTCATCCTGTAAACCCCGGACTGAGGCTGTGTTCCCATGTAGAGATCACTTGCTCATAAAGCTATTTTAATTGATAGCTTTTTGCTAAGAGAGGAGAGGGGAAGAGGCATCCCTGCTGTAAGTTCCAGTCATGTACATTTCTCTGAATATCTATCTAAGTCACTATGACATACTCACTGATTTCAGGTCCTTCTTTGGGTCATTTTTCCAGCTCACTGGAAATGGCTCTGGATTGAGAAGCAGAGTAAATGAAAGAGTCTCCAAATTCCCCCAAGACTGTCCATTCCAGGGCTGGAGTGCTTCCAGCACACCAGTAACTGCACGGGGATTGCAGTGTTGTGTATAGACAGTCATCATGAGGTCTGAAGGCATTCAGCAAGAGCTAAGTATAATTACTGACATTGCTGTCAGAGATATTCTGGGAGAAAAAAGACAACCTAAAATTAGACTTTTGGGAAAGGCAAATTGTAGCAATTGCTAGTCTGGTAGCTCTTTTTAAAGAGATGCTGATGTGCTGGGTTCTGCGTGCGCCCTCAGCACGGCTCACCACTGCAGCTGTGGTGCTGCAGCCCCTACGTGGGGCGTGCAGGGGCAGCTCTCTGGTGACAACTACAGTCCTCACAGCTAGGGAGCCAGGTCAAGCACAAATGCAATCTGATGTCTGATCATATCTTGCAAAAAGACAGGCAATATATTATATTATTATCTTGTTTGGAAAACAAGAGAATATGCATCACATTATATTGTATGATGACAAGGCCAGTAGAAATGTAAACATACAGAATAACTATATTTCACTAGGACTGACCAAAAAAAGTAAAAAAATATCAACTCACTGGGATTTTCATTATCAGTGTTTGTAGCAAGGAAAATAAACTTCTTTCTTTTCAAGTTCACAAAATCTCCCTTGAAAAATATGAAGACTAATAGAAGATCTATAATGATGCAAAAGAATATGAAGAAATATACTGATCCTGAAACATAACACAACAAAGTACAAGTAACATGCTTGGAAAAAAAAATGCAACTTACATAAATGAATGCACCAAATTATTGGAACAGCTCGCCTATCAACAAATTAAAACACTAAATTTTTAAAAATCATAGATAAGCCCAGGACAAATAGGTCTAAAATTGCAAGGGATTGTGCTAGCTCCAACGATTAAGAAAAAATTAACACTTAACAGTCTGTGAATTTTCCAAAGTAAAATACAGCAGTTGGTTGTAGTCAGTCAGTTTTCTGGAGATGTTAATTCCTCAATACAACAAAATCAAGAGCCAAGTGAATCTAGGGCTGTGTAGCAGTAAGGCCTGCTTCTGCTAGATCTAGAGCACATAGCAACAGAAGCTGCTGGTTGGGTCCTGAACTGGGCAGTTCCGTCTTCCCATGGCTCTGGATCAGAGCAAGGGAAGGAGCTTGCAGAAATGCCCAGACACTCTGTGGCTAGCAGAGAGCACAGGCAGAGCCTGACGCGGTCCCAGAGGCACCAGCAGCCCCCTTGCTCCAGCTGCCGCTCCTGCCCGGGGCTCACAGGCATCAGACACTTGAACTATTTGTTCCCAAGTGAACTAGGATGATAGCTCAGAGCAGGGTATGCACTCTTAATTCAGAATTTCACTCACTAGAGATGTAATCACTCGTACACACACACACAACCCATCTACATACTTTTGTAGGTAAGAAGAGGAAACAAAAGAACTCACAAATTATATGAGACAAAATGAGACAGTTTTAAGATCAACTTTTATTGAAAAATTAAAACTGCATTGCGTATCTTCTTTGTAATTTTGACATTTCTTTAACCACAAAACAGAGATTCTGTTTAAAAAATCTCATCATATTTTTCACCATTCAAAAAACAGATAATGAACTGAACAAATGACAACTTTAAAATCCTAGGTTATTCTCAAGGCCCCTGGTTCTGTCTGTCTGCCGTGAACACTAGAATCCAACTATGTTCTCCAGAAAAAGGACCTTTAATAATTTGATCAGAAGTTTTGTCATTCAAAAATCAGCAGCTGCTGTTGATTTTTATTTCATGATCAGTCTTTTCCAAGTAAATCATATCTGCTAATAAGAGCAGCAGCTACACCTTTAGCTAACACCTTGCTTGTTGTTTACTTCATTTGAATTCACCCACCCAAAATGCTGGTGACTGGCAGTATGATTTTAAACACAAAACTCATCATCCTAAAATATGTTTTAAACCTCAGAAAAACAAAGTTACTCACCTGTAATTTCAGTGCTTTGAATTAGTCACCACTTCCACATAGCCTTTTTGATCTTTCACACTCAGTAGTATATGAATTAAAGCATAGGAAAATTCCAGGTAAGCTTTCGTTTGAGAAGCTGTAACATATTACTCAGATGAAAATTACCTACTGGGAACAAAATACAGATGAGTTTTCTCACCTATGAACTTGACTCCTCTTTTGAAATTATCTATCCAAGCTGCAAGTGAGTTCTGACATGAGTCCTGTGCCTGTGGAAGGAAGCAGGTAAACATAATGGGGAAATTCAGTGGATGATATTAGAATTAAAAGCTTCACAAAATAACTAATTGTGAGTATCATCTGCCTCAGGATGCAACACTGCAGAAAAGTAAGAGAAAATGCAGAGTGTAGAAAGATAAATTTAAAGCCCCTATCTCAAGAGACAGGAGCTCTGCAATTCTGACAGAGGCAGGAGGGTCTCTGTTGTTCCTGTGCATCTGCAAGCCACCACTGATAATGGCTACAACCCCTCATTTTCTGATCTTCTAAAAGCAAGATGCTTCACTAAGTGAAGAAACAAAGATTTTAGTGAGAAACAGGGTTTACATGTGCAGAAAAGAACTAGGTTCTGTCCAAGGACCACCCAAGGCTTGCTGGCCTTAGATAAAACATACTGTGCTTTTTCCTGGAGTCAGTTATAGTTCTCTTTACCTGGTTTATATGCTTCTAGGGGTATAAAGTTTCAGCTACCAAAAATTATTATTGCAATATTGAGATAATCTGGATACAAAAATTATGCAGTTAGAATCTAAAGGTTAAAGGACTAAGTTAGATCTTAGGATCTTACAACTAAAGTAATAACGTTGCTGAAATACTTTGACTAGGGAGCTAAGGAGGTGGAGGAAGTCAGGAATTTTTACCTGAGATCTGGTTGAGGAAATCACGAGGATTAGGGCGTTGCTTGTGTGGAAGAGGCAAAATCCCCTGCTGAATCTGGGTTAGTAGTAAAATGTCTTTGTCTTTGTGATCCTAATTTATATTGTTTCACATAAACAGCAAAGATAGAGAGCTTACATAGCTGGTCTTTGAATAAAGCAAAAATGTGACAGAGACCAGACTTCAAGAAGTCTATGGTTCAAAATGTGTCATACACATCCTCTTCAGAACAAACTCCCTTCATACTCCTGAAAACAGCTTCCAATCAAAAGCTTTCTAGTTTTGATGAGTGGCCTGTATTTATAAGGAATGGCATTTTAACATAGAAGCTGCCACTGTAGCCAGTATTCATGCTGACTGCTTCTATATTGCAGGCCTTCAATCCCATTGCATGGATTTTAAATGAAAAATGTTAAGTATTGAAGACATGGTAAGATATCAAGTTTATAATTAAGGAAGAGTAAAGTTTAAGACTAAGAAAGCAAGATATGAACAGCCCTGTCATGATAAAAATAATCTAACAAAATTAACCTTGTACTGTTGAGATTATTGGGAAATTCATGGCATAAAAGTAATAAAGATAATCTGCTCAAAGTCATTAAGAGAAAGCTGAAAGAGTGAAAATTTAGAATCATTTTTAGACTTAAATCAAATGATTTCTAGAAAAAAAAGTTTTACAGAGAGTTATAGAAGATGGCTGAATAGGAGCCCTAGGAAAAGCCGGTACAGCCAAATCATATGACCTGGCAATTACCATGACAGTTTCTTCTTTTTCCCTCTTCCAACTAGCTGGAGCTGTGAGACAGCTTCGGATGCAGCCAGTGGGACTGGGAGGATGGAAATCCCTCTTGGCCGTTCCCACCGTTCCACCGCTCTCCTGGCACGTAGAGCAAAGCCTCAAAGCTGGGGAGCGCTGCCACTGCAATCCTAAATCAAAGTGCAAGTCTTTACTTTTCTTTCACTGAATGTTTCTAAAATCAACTTTAATGCTGATTTTGGGGAGAAAACCAACAACAACTGATCACTGACTTGCATGGGTGATAGCCATGGAATCATGTATAAGAAGATTTGGAATTAGCATGTCCCATTTCCTGCCAGGATAGTCATTCTGTAGGCAAGGGGTTATTGAATCTCCATTCTGTTCGACTGCTGCGCCTCCGGCATGGAGTTTTCCACTTGCCAATACTGGTTACCTAATCGTTAAAACGGAACAAGCCTCAGATGACTCTGGTGTCTATATTTTGACAAGTGTGGCCTGTTGTGCCAAGCCAGCTGTACTTAAAGAATCTGAGATGAATTTTGGGCTTATTTATTTTATAAGCTCCAAAATGTATAGTCAACTCCATTTCACTGAAGCAATGATGCTGGCTACAGCTCCTACAGAAATGCTATAGACCTTCAGGAATCTTGCTATAGAATTTAGTTAAGCGAAATTCATAGTGATCCATCCTGAAATACGACACAATCACAGGGGCCTTGGTTAGCAACCAGTATTCACTAGGAAAGCATTCAGAACACTGAACAGACAGTCTGACATTACAATTAATAAAATTGAAAATTCTCTTAAAGGGATTTCATTATTTGACATTCTATATACACTTTTAGAATTCCTTATAATCAGTAAAATTATCTGTAAGTTATTATTCTGAGGGCATTAATATTTAAACAAAAGTGTCAACTATTATTTTTGTATTTTTTCTTTGGCTCACAAATACACTAAAATACCATAAACATTATTTAGAACTTCAGTAATATATAAATAGGATACATTACAAATGGAAGAAAATACAAGACAACTCTTTAGCATGGTAAATCTCTGCATATAAATAAGCAAATATTTCATTTACCTACAATTGAACAGTTATCTTGCTGTAAAACTATTACATTTAAATCCTTTACACAAAGTCATTTAACAATAATATACACAATCTACACAAATTAACCTCTAAAAATACAGCAATAATATACCTTTTACAATGACTCTGCTACAGTTATCCCCTGATGTGACACTAAAGGGGAAATACAACTATTTTACTCAAAGGTGCTGTTAGACACTGCTGTTTTGTATGTGAGAGAAGCACCAACAGTAAGATTTAATACTGTGAAACAATTCTTTTAGCTCCTAGAATCTACATTTTAGAAATATTTCTATATATCTATTTTTATCTGCCAGAAAAATCTGTAGCACATTATCCACATGGTTGTTGAAGGAATTATTTCTCTTAAGGTGGAAAACATGCTGTGGTTGGATCTTATTTCATAACCACATATATATATATTCTATATATATATATTTATATTTATTTATACTGTACATATATACCATGTAGAGTTCTTAAATTTCTATTTTAGTACTTATTTATTTCCTGCTGACTATAATAAGCAAGACCAATGTACGAGTCAATAGTACTTCAACTTCAAGATAACACGTTTTCCCTCAGTAAAATTATCTACCAATACATATATGTTTCAGTATCCTATAGATTTTTTGTTTAAAGATGTTTCAGGAGATTGGAGCTTACAGAAAGAGGATTTCTTTAAAACATGTTCTGCAGAACTGGATAAAAAAATAGCCAGTGCTGGAAAACAGTGAATTAGAGAAATAATTCGACCCCTGTACTACAGCTCCTGCCCCAGTCTCTCTATTTCCTCAATGAGGAAGTCAATGTCAGACTTAGTTGCTGCTGGGTTTGAGATGACCATTCGGAAGAAGTTGACTTTATCCCCCTGAGGCTGATATCCAACCATGGTAGTACCTGACTCCATCATCAGAGCTTTGATTTTCGGGGCCACCTTTATTAATGAAATGAGTAAAAGTAAAAGAAAAAAAGAAACAAACAACAACCAAAAATAAAACAGACAGAGAGAGAGAGAGAGAGAGAGAGAAAGAAGTAAGCAATTCAGAAGCTTTTTGACAGATCAGAAAGGCACGATTTTATATTAAAAAATCTGTAAAAGAAAAAGGGATATGTTACCAGGTCAATATTTAAAGGTCAATAAGCAACAATGAAATCCATCTTTTAATAAATCTCTCTTTTTTTAATCAAATGTACATATAATTTCTTTGTGCTGACTAATTATTCTAACAGGTTGAACAATTAAAATTAATTATTGAATATTTCAATATTCAATGCTGTAATATTTAGGTGACATTAAAAGTACATTGTTCTACTGGAGCATTAAAAAAAAAAGAGATTTTATCATAAGGAAAGATGTTCTCTCTTTTTTTGAAAATATACTCCAATATCAAGTTTTCAGGGACCACTGATGCTTTCCATGAGAATATTATGTATTCCATCAGCTAATTTGCTGAGAAAAAAAAAAAGAAGAAGAAAAGGAGGAAAAAAAACCAACAGAAAAATAATATTTCCTATTAGCATGTTAGTATAAGCTCTGGAAACCCAGGAGTTTTGTAGTCAAAATCTTTACCTCGATTTCATGTTCTTACTTCCAGCTTATAAGGAATAATGTTCCAATGGCCTTAGTATGTGACATCAACTGAGCTCAGTTTTGCTGTCCAGAACATATTTGTCCTGCTTCACTCTCGGCCAGCCAAGGCCGTTTCTCCGGCTCTTTTACTGTTTTGTAGGACACTTTATAATATCCTCTAACATTTAAGAGAACCAAGGCAGACATTTCTTTTCTTTTCTTTTTTTTTCCCCAGTCTCATCCATCTTCCTTTTCTCTCTCTCTCTCTCTCTCGGCAATTTCTTTAGCATTTCACTGGCTTCACCTAGGAATTGCAGTTGTCTTCTGTTGCCTTTCCTGACGCAGCCACAAAATCCTCTACAAAACCTTCCAGGTTTGCCTATTCTTCTGCCTTCCACACACACAAAAAAATTGCAACTCATTTTGACAACTATAATTTCAGTCTTTTGTCTCCTGAATTTACTTCAACACTACTTCTGTCTAAAATGCTACTAGAGAAGCAATGTATTTCATTTCCATCAACTTCTAATTACCATGAGAAGTTTTCCTGGCTTTTTCTACTGTGTCCTCACTTTGCCCATTCCATCATTCCTTAAAATAAATTTATCCCCAAATCCTCCAAAGGATATTGATTTTTACTCAAATGCATTACTTAGTGAAATATTGTGAAGTCCCTAGAGACTAACCAGAACATTAAAAATAAAGACTCAAGAATATGTAGGTTTCCAGGTCCTTTATCTGTTCTACTACTTTCAAACTACTGCTGATATGTTGTCCTTTCCCTTGCTGATATGTTCCCTTGGTCCCTTGTCAGGGACCACTTTTTCTCTAGCTACTTTTGAAACTCACATACACTTCTGGAACCATACAAATGATGCCTAACAAACAATGATGTTTGTTTTGTATTTAGGTCTACAGGAGAAAGAAATATGACTTCTTCCACAATACAAATAGGACACAAGGGGGAACAGGTTTCAAAGACCTTACCAGCAATTGAACGGATATCCCAGAACTTGCAATATGCGTCAACACATATTGTGAATTATTTTTGATAAATGGAGTATTTGGTGTTAAAACAGGAGATTATATTTTTGCATTTAATATAGGCCTCATACCCTGTGTAACTTTTCTCTTCTCTCCTCGCAGTCTGGCATGCCCCTGAGACTTGGCGGAATATACCAGAAACATACATTTGTGTGCTCAGGCTGCAAAAAGAGCAACCAAACACATACATCAGTAAACACAGTAATCACAGTAACAGATCACTCATACTAATAGAGCAACATAGTTTAGCATAGGTATGGCAGTCTAAACATAGTGTTAACTTTGCTGTTTCTGTATGTTAGAACAAAATAACATATTATTCTTTGGAATATTCATATTATTCTTTGGAAACTAAGAACAGAATTTCAACATAGCTGGATTGAAAAACTCTGAGAAGTGTCAAGACTATTTTCAGAATTCCATAGATTGGCCTCTGCCTGCTGGTTAATTGAAAGAAAACTTACCTCTCCTTCAAAAACCATCTCAAATTCTTCTCTGTTTTTGATTTTAGTATAGAGATACTCTGCCAGTTCCAGGCATTTGTTGATCTGATTTTCAAATCCTACTGTACCCTATTTTAAAGAGAAGGTAAATATTAACTATATGGTTATTTTTCCTTTTCTGATGCAATCACCTTTTCAGATAAGCTTCACATGTAAACCAGTTTAGCCATAAAGTGAAACATTCAGCAGGATTTTTTTTCTAATTTAAAAATAAAGGTAATCAATCATTACATAAGTGGCTACATCTGTGCTAGCTGTTATTGATATTTTGATTTTGCTTTGATTTTAAGATAACTTATTATGATAAATAAAAGAACTTTTGATTTTTAGTAGATTTTTAGATCTATTTTTTCCAACTTCCCCAAATACCAAGAATATTAAGTGTTAGCTTCGCAGTCTTTGCTGAATGGCTGTGAGCATGGAATGGAAACTATTTTCAATGCCAGAGAGTCAACTGGTAAACTATTAGACAGGCAATTCCCTAAAAAGCAGGGTTTGTTTTCAGAGTTGCCAAAGCCATGCATGCAAATATAGGGCTAAAAAGACTCTCTGAAGTCATCAAGTCCACACTGCTGCTGCCGCAGGTAACCTACCATAAAATCCTGATGTGAGCGTACAGAATCACCACAGAAGACCATTTTGATGTCCTGCCCTCGCTGCTTTTACTGCAGGACTGTCCTTGAACTGCACTCCTTTAGTGACTTAATTCTTTATTTCACTTTCCAGCTGAATTAACTGATGGCCAATATTGTTCTACAGCTTAAATAGCTCTTGATTTCATACTTACTACCTCTGTGTTTAGAGGTAGTTTGTTAAAAAAAGTATTCTATGAGACTTACAGATGAAATACATACATTTCTAACATTCGAAAGGAACTTTTATTACTTACCTTTGCCTTCCACATCAACCAGAACTTGAAAATGTCCACGTGTCGCCCACACTGTATTGCCTTATCACCAGTATCGTAAGATATATCATACTGTTTATCTTGCTGGAAAAGATATCCTGCACACATTTGATTGCAACCTTGAAGTATACCCTATTGTTAAAAAAATATATTTGAATATATATGAAACTTATATGACATATTTCGTCTGAAACTTTGTACATTAATGTAAGGATTGTATGTCAAATATATACAGAACTTTTCTTTAAAGGACCAGATTATGAAATATGGACCTAGTTTTGAGAAGTAGGATCCATAGACAGTTTCATAAGCTCACTTAAAAGACCCTTAGGAGTAAAATATCCTTAAATGAATTTGGATTTTGAGTTTTCCATACTAACTTCATCCATTTGACTTTTTAAGGTTATTGGGACTCAAGAGTGTATTTTTAAGATTTACATTTTTGATGTGTTATACACTATAATAAACTTATTGTCTCTCAATTCAGTATGTAACTATATATATTAAAAAAAAAAAGTTGAACGTTTCAACTTCATATATTGCCCAGCTTTAGGACATTTTGCATCAGTAATCCTCTAGGCATTCATGAGCCAAACTGAACTTTTTTTTTCTTAAAAACATGAAAAAATAAGGAACTCCACTCCAGGGTTGGGTTACTTCACAACAGCTACTTTTAAAATGATGGAAATTTGTGAATTGCTTCTAAGAGTATATGAGGGAATGTCAGAAAAGCAAATTCTTATATACTACATAGAAATCTTACATATATGACATTTCTAAAGGAGGTTGCATCTTCCCTAGAATATCTTAGTGACTCATTGCAGAAGCTCAAAGACCATTGTTACATCTGATAAATACAAAAAAACACCCAGAGTTCTCATACAGAGAATGATTTTGTCAAAATCCTACAAGAGTTACCATGGTCAGCACGTCGGCCACCAAAGGAAAAAAAAAAAAAACAGCCATTGCTTCCCAGCAATAGATCTCAAAGTATTTTACAAAGGACAGCAAATATCACAGTTCCCAATTTAGAGATGAGTTGCTGAGAAAACCAGTGACAGAACCAGGGCTGAAGCCCCCAGCTCCTACATCCCAGTCTACACATGGGCACCAATTCCTCTGCAGCCATCCTCCGCAGCAGCAAATGACATGCCAGGTAATGTAAATCAACAGGTAAGGTAAAACAGTTGGCACTTCTTTTAGAAGTCCTAACATTATATAATTATCAAGACGAAGGGTATATTTTCAGCAGGTCATAGGTAGGTAGAGAAGGTGTATTAGCATAGCTCTAGTATTGTTATTGGAATATGCAAAGACACACCAGCTAAAAATCTGGTCCCTTAAAAAAGCAGGAGTTGATATTTTGATATTTACAATTCCTTTTTTAACTGCTTAATTGCTAAATAGAAAGCAAACCTTTTCCCGGATGAGAATGGCAGAACACTGCAACAATACTCCCATCATCTTGTGTGGGTTCCAAGTGACTGAGTTGGCTCTGCAAAGGAATTACACATTCAGTAAGTTTGGGAAACAGAAACTTATCCTGGAATAGCTACCTCAGATTTCTGCTTCCATCTGGAAATGTGTGGACCTGTTTTCTCTATGGAGAGTATTAATGTCTCAGATGTCTTCTTTCCCACTGCACTGTCCAGGAAATGAATTTTCCTGGATTAATATTGCCGTGTTAGACTTCTGATTAGTTTTTATTGTTAATAATACAGCTAATTAGTATTAAACTATGCTGATTAGCTGATATTGTAACTCCATCCCCAGAAGACTTCACTTCTAGAAACAGCATTACACAGACTAAGAACAATTTGACAAGTTATATCAGTTCAAGGTCTGATTGGAAGAGGCAAAGAAGGGAACAACCTGAAGCACCAGGAAAATACAGTTCCTCAATATCCCTTCAATAGCTGCTGGAAGAATACAAGGGAAAGGAAAAGACTCTCCTAAAGCTTATCCACTTTTCCAGTTAGAGCTATATGAGGTCTTTTCTATATTAACTTGTTAAAATCATGGATTATTAAAAGACTATAAAACTTTATAGCACATGCCTACTCTTCTGTGTATAAAGTTTAAAACATTTTATGTGTAAGTACAAATGGATTCCTGAGATTAATTTACTGGCCAAACACATGAAATATTCTGTAATTTTAGCAAACTATTCTAGGCAGTTTAATGGGGATGCTAAAATGAATGTTCCAACCTTACACATCTACTGACCTCTTCATTCTAGGTCATTAACTAACAAATATCCCCTTGAGTCCCTGTGCTGTCTAGCGAAGGAAAGTCCATCGTTATATATTTCATAGACTTTACTTATGGGTCCATACAATGTGCTGAGAATTCCTCCTTTCCTCCATGTTGCTCTCAGGGACACAGGCAGAGCCGCAGTGCCTCTATCCAGGGCAATGCGGTGACTCATTTTCCCCGGAGTCTGAGGCCCACTGGCCCCACAGATGGTCCAGGTGTGGTGCCTGCACGAGGTTCAACCTCAGTACACGGGGCCACGGGAAGGGGCAGCCTGTGCCGCGTGTCCGGAGGCCTGCGTGGGCACTGCAGAGCAGCAGGGCATAGTTCACTCGCAGCCTATCCAGAAATAAGGTTAAGAAATCATTTTTTTCTCAGAAACTTAAATTGTAGTTCGCAGGGTGTAGGTAAGAAACAAGAATTTATGTAACAGCTCATTTTCTTTTGAGTGAGCACTACTGTCCAGCTGAGCATATTTAGTTAGTTAGTTTCGAAGTTCCAAACAGAGGCAGTCTAGCTTTCCCAGGAAACACTGGGTTTATTTTAAGAAGAGAACTTCATACTCTGTCCTGCAGAGCAGCCAGAGAGTGTTCTAGCACCAGCAATTCAAGCCCTGCAGCCACAGCCATGTGTCAGGCCCTGTATGTCCATGTCTCTGGGCAGGCCAAGTCCAACCTGAATGTAAGCAGTAGATCCCAGCTGGGATCTGTGACAAACCAGTGTGTGGTGTGAGATTCCATATGATCTGATGCCACTGCATGAGTGACTGGCAGGTCAACTGGACAGATGTTTAAGTGGTTCTGCTACTTCAGAGCTACCTGCTGCACCACACTTTACTTTCCCTCACCAGAAAGGTCCACATGGTTTTTTTCTTCCTTGGCTTGGTTCAGTCCTTCTGCATACTAACTCAGACCATTCTTTATTCTATACTTTTCTTCAATAACTGTATAGGATGCCTACAATGGGGAAAGTTGGTTTCCTCTGTAGAGGGGCTTTGCTCCTTTTTCAGACAGAACACAAGCTTTTTATTTATTGAAAATGACTGCAAATCTCATTTGGGAGAGAAACTCCACAAACTCCCACAGTGCCATGGCTTTACATCTTTGTGTTCCTCCGTCTTCACTGCTATTCTCAAAGCCCTACATGTCATATTTTTCTAACCCTTGCACCTTGGTTTTCTCACATCTCACTTCATTCATTCCCAGATTTGGGATCTGGTCCAAGCTATGCCTAGAACAACCTCCCTTCCCTTTTTTTTTTTGCCAACCAATACCCCTATTTCTCTACAAGTCTGCTGAAAGCTTACCTTCCACTCAGCTGTGCATCTTCTCAGTTGTTTTCTTCTGCAGGACTGTTTTAATCTTCCTGGTCTGAACCTCTCCTGTCTGTCTTGTTTTTGTTTGGTTTACTGTTTAATCTCCTTACTGCAGCAAAGTCATCTTTTCATGCATTTGTGAAGTGTCATGCACCCCTATAACACTGCTTCAGTTATAATAAAACTAATAAGCAGTACGTAGTACCTTTCTATTCCATTTAGTTTATGACGATGCTTTCGGGACATTAAGAGTCCACCTCCCCAAGCAGCCTGGAAGAGAGAGAAAAAAGAAAAGAGTCACTGTTTTGCCTGAGAAAAAGAAAAAAAAAAGAAAAAAGCCTAGCATATTTTAATTTACTCCAGCTCTAATAATAAATATTTTAGTTCAAATATTTGTTTCAAACATTCAAATAAACTAGTATTTTCTTCAGCTACTTACGTCTACATGGAGCCAGAGGTTATATTTTTCACATATATCTGCAATCTCCTGTATTGGATCAAAGGCCCCATATACTGTTGTGCCTGCGGTTGCATTTACAAACAGAGGAATGTATCCCTACAATATAAATAAAAATATTAGTTAAATATAAAATCCAACCTAGCTCAGAAAAAAAAAAGTGAAAATCTCTTTAGAATTGTCGCCATTCTGTTGCCCATTTTCCCATCATAAAATATTTTTCTTCCTGTGTGAAAGACACACATAAGCAACAGTAGAAACTAACAAACCGGATACATGGTACGAACAAACTGGCTATCTTTATCACACTATAACCTCACAAAATTAACTAATCAGAATCCAGTGTTTTGTCTAATCTCTTTCAGTTTGGAGATTGAAATGTTTCAGTAACAAAATAGCAATTGTCAAGTAAAGCTAAATCTACTTTATCTACCATAAAGGGATCAAAGCAGAACAAAGCAATCCAAAACAAAAGCAATAAATGTGGTGTTATACAATCAAAGCAAGTGAAATAAATGTGAACTGCAACTTTAAAGAATGACCAAATATAAAGAGGTTAAAAAAAAAGCTCTAACTTTAGTTGCTCTATACAACATTAAAAGATTTTTCATTACATTAATTCAAAAAGTAATAACGAATACTCCAAATAAAAACAAAATAACGCACTGACTACAGTTACTGATCCTGCAAACTCCAACTTGAATTCTATGGGAATTTTAGGACTAATCTAAATTTTCAAAAGTTTTGACAAAAATTCAAAGTTTGACTAAAATCAATTTTTTACTTTACACAGATTCACAGATTCACAGAATATTTAAGGTTGGAAGGGACCTCTACAGATCATCTAGTCCAACCTTCCTGCTCAAGCAGGCACACCTACTGCATGTGGCACAGGGTGGCATCCAGGCGGGTTTTGAAGACCTCCAGAGTAGGAGACTCTACAACCTCCCTGGGCAGCCTGTTCCACTGCTCTGTCACCCTAACAGTAAAGAAGTTCCTCCTCACCTGGAGACGGAACTTCTTRTGYTYCAGYTTGTGGCCATTWCCCCTCGTCCTRTCGCTGGCCACCAGTGAGAACAGCCTGTCCCCTTCCTCCCTGCATTCTCCCTTCCTGAATTTATACATATTAATCATATCCCCTCTGAGCCGTCTCTTCTCCAGAGAAAACAGGCCCAGCTCACTCAGCCTCTCTTCATACGAGAGATGTTCCATTCCCTAGCATTGCTCGGAGGGAAGCCATGGCCAGATTGGGAAGGCCCCAATACGTCTTTTTAAATAATCTTTTTCTCAAACACAAGGTTTATTCCCAATATTCTCAGATATTCCATGTACTTCAGATACTTTTAATAGACATTTCCAATCCACCTGATGTTCCTGAGCAGCAAGTTGCAAAAGAAAATGAAACCAGAAAATTCAATTGTGGGATGGCATTTTATAATTATATAAAATAAAATATAGAAAATATAAATAAATATATTTTAAAATATAGAGAAATTAAACAGTAAATGGATAGCAAAATATAGAGATGATTGCCTAAAACAATACATAAGTGTATAATTAAACATCTTAAAATATTATTAAAGCGTTCTTAGTTAATGTTAACCCTCAGCCTTTAAAGGGAGAGATAACACATTTTATTAACATGAGCATTAAAGCTCTAATTCTTAGAAACACAAACCTTTTGTTTGGCTTCCAAAATTTTGGCCTCTAAATCAGCTGGTATTATTTTGCCTCTGTAATTATTGCAGAAACAGAAAGACAAAGAAAATTAAAGATTGCACATAGAAATACTAGTTACAGTTGAAATAATTTAATAGGATTTTCTCAACAGGCCATTAGCAGTTTGACACACTGTACTGAACCAGTCTTTAAGCACAATAAAACAAATTTAACAGATGAACACATTTAATATATCAAAACCTACCTTTCATTGCATTTTATCAAAATCACATTGTCTGTTCCAAATCCAAGTGCAGCTCCAGCTTTCTTTATTGAGTAGTGACTCTGCAGCAAAACATATGCTTATTTAATAGTAGTAATTAATTGGCAAAAGATCTTCAAAATATATATCAATAAATTAACAATTAATAGTATCATAAGCTCACGTGTTCCGAGGTGAAAAGAACCAGTTTAGGGACTGCAGCCATGCCTTTGGTTTTGACTTCAGGGAAATACTTGTAGCGTGCAGCCATTATGCTGTACATATTGGAGATAGCTCCTCCTGTGAATGAATGTGTAATAAAATTGTGATTATGAGGAAAAGAAAAAACTTATTAGACCGAAGACAAACATGCCTCTTTTGTGCTGTGCAATGAAATAAATCTCCGAAAATAAATCTCTGGTTGCCTGTCTAAACAGGATAGGGACAGACCCTCTGGAAGGTCATACTGATAGTCAGGATTTCCTATCTCTCTTCCAAATGCTAATATTTTTGCAATGCATTCCTAAAGGCATCCATTTTCATTTTGCTGCCTTTACATGACAGCTTGTTGTTAGCCAGAGTAGCAGAAACTTATCAAATTGACTGGGACTGAAGAAATGTCACATGCTGAGTGGATTTATTCCATTTTATCAAAGATGTAGAGATAAATGCCTAAAGGTAGATTTCTACATCTGAGGTAGTTATTCTAAACTCCCTTGGTAGTCAGTTAACAGAAGGAAGTACTTAGTAGGCTATGATTCAGCTAATCTGTTTTGAAATTTATTTCTGAAGAAGGGTAATTTAGGGAAAGCATCTATTCCTCTTGCTTTATTTACAAAAAGATCCCAGGATAGCTAGCAGAGTTGTACAATGCAGACATCAACATTTATTGAGGCTAATCTTGTCCATAAAAAAACTAAGAGAACTTATTCCTCTGGTATTTCTTCACCAAGAAGAACACTGGGCAAGATCTTCCATATTTTTCTTGCAGAGGTGACTAGCAAACAAGTAAGTGTGCATTCACAGATTTTATACTGATAATCTCAGAAAAAAAAGTGGAGTTTGCCCTTCATCCTCTGACGAAGCCTATTTCTTCCCAACAAACCTAGAAATCTGGAGCTCTGTTAGGTGACCATTTTGTCTACACACAGGCTCCAGGATTTCTGCATGGTTTCATATTTTTTCTGCTACTGCTGACAGCCTTTGTGGGGTGACACTTTGGCCTGCTCTTCAAAAAATCCTGGTTTGGGAACTCATATTTCTGGGAAAATGATACCACAAGATGCGACCAACACCTAGTGGCACTTTACCCAACTGTGCGCCCAAATCCTCATCAAAGTCAGTATGTGATTCTCAAAAGTTGTTGGTCATCAAGGTTTGTGATTGCTCCGCACCTCCAGGTAAAACAGATTAAAAAATAATAGTTACCAAGCTCATAGTGTTTTAAAATGTTGTGCAAGTTTCTGTATAGCCATTTGATATGGTACATAGTCATATAACAAAAGATAAAGAGCATTTTCTTCAACTTTTTGTGCTATGTTTGAACAAAATATATACATCAGATGGGAAATGCCTATTTCTAAAATTTTGACATATCATTTTGAGTTGAAGATATTTCATGAAGAATGTGGGCAGTCAAGCACAGCTTAAGCTTATTTTTATTTTTGAAGTTTTATTCAAACCACCGAGAGTGAAGTGCAACCCACCAGGTGAGAATATCCCATCACCATCTTTATTGGACCATCCAATGATCTCTCTCATCTTTCGAAGTGTTATTTGCTCCATGAGTACAAAAACAGGGGCAATTTCATATGTAAACCTGCACAGACAAAACAACAACAGATTACCAAATACACAATGAATTTCTTGTCTGTGATTCTTAATAAAAATGTTGAAGATTCCTAAAAAAAATCCCATAAATTGAGGGTCTGATTTTCTTTTCTCAAAAAAATAAAATAAAATGAAATCCTCAGGAAGAGAATACTGGCAGTATTGGTCATCAGAGACTATGACTTCCGCTGTCTTTAGCGACTTTTCTATATAATCAACAGAAGACTCGTGCTCACCATCACAGTGCTGGTCATTGTTATGCAAAATGGAACTGCAACTTATTTGTTTGCCGAAGTGCCAATTTCACACTTTTGGAATAAAATATATCCAAAAACTTATGAAAACAGTGAATTTCACTCAGCTAACCTCAAACAAAATTAGAGATATTGAGCTAAGGCTTCAAAATCTGAATACAATTAATTATGTGGATTTATTCTGTTTATCTCCAAGGACAACTTATTTCTAGAATACCATATGATCAATATCTGTCAAGAGTAATTATAAATGATGAATTTCTAATTACCAATTAAAAAAAAAAACAAGACAGCAGTCAACTGTTGTATCCACTTAATGAGGGCAAATGCATTGCATGGTCTAATATGCCATGAGGTCATGGACAGATACATGGATGGAAAGTGACAGTCATACAACCATTTTTGGTGATCAAGGTACATGGATAAATTGCTGCTGCTGTAAATAAGCTCTGGTTGTCATATTAAAATCTTTTTTTTTTTTTTTTGGAAGTAGAAAGAAACTTACTTATCTGAAGACGTTAATGTGTGACAAAGACTGTCTTCTATTTACATCTACACTGCCTAAAACAAATTATTAGTTTTTTCAACAAACCTTGTCCATGTCCTTAATTTATCACAGATACGATAGCAATATTTTTGAAGCATTTAAGAATGAATGCTATTGTTTTCTAATTCTTGCTATTTCTAATTTTGAAAGGCCAAAATACTATTTACTTTGTCTACATCATGATCAGACATGTCAGAGAGCCATTTGGACTGAAGATCTGCTGTTGTAGAAAATTACAAAAAGACAGAATAAATAAACCAGATGGTGCCTCTTTTCTCAGCAGCAAATCTTCTCAGTAGCCAAATTATAATAGTTGATTTTTTTTCTTTTTCCCCATACTACATGTCTAGAATATTTTCCAACCTTTACTCAGGCAGAATGACCAATTGAAGGCAATAGGAACTCAGTACCATATAAACTACTGTAACCTAAAGGAAGATATGTTTAAGTCAACATATCTTTTACATCAGTTTAAATGCATTTTCATTTTTGTCCTGAGAATGTACACTCTGATGCCTACATCCTTGAAGATTTAGAGGCTTATATAAAAAGCATATAGATTCTGGCAAGTTATATATAGATATATAATTGTAAATATAACATATTTAAAATAAAATGTCAAGTGTTCACAGAGGAAATGTTGAATACACACAAAACCAAATAAAATAATACTTATTTATTTTACTAGGTACTTACTTTCTGTATCTCCAAAAACTGACAATCCAATAAAAGAAGATTGTGGATGATTACAGATTCACAGAATCTGTACAAGTGCACTGCTCACTCTTTGTTATAAGTGATAAGGCCAATGCAACTATGTTAGATGAAGGCTGTGTTTTTCCAAATAGCGTTTTGGTGAAGAAATCTCCAAATTATTTGATTTAAATTTAAAGGGTTTTGAAAATGTCACTAAAATATAGAAAATACATTTGGCATGGTAAATAAATCTTTGCTACTTCAGAACCAAACTCCTGATGAAAAGTCCTGATGAGACTTTCCATACAGTTATAGCCTTTACAGGTAATTCTAAGAATTAACTAAAATGGATACCAGCCTCTTTTCTTTGCTAACAGTATATGAATGTCGGCAATGTCAGGCACTTTTTTTTTTTTTTTCCCTTCCCTCTGGTAGTGCCTAGGACTGGCCTAATTTTGCTCTCACCTAAATTCTACAATATTTTTATCAGGACAAATAATTCTGTCTCCTTACTGCCCTGTTTGCCAGTAGGTAAAATGAACAAACAAAGCACTTTACATAATTTGCATGCGTTATCTTTGCATAAGTATAAATACATAATGCAGATACCATCAGTATAATTTTCTCATCTGGTTAACAGAGGACATCAAGGGAATGTTGTGATAATGCTTTCCCTTCCCAACCTCAGCAGCTGGCTGAGGTGAGCATCCATGCTACAGATCTCCAGTGTTGTTTGAACAGCAGCAGCTTCTGCAAATTCCACCTGAAAATTTCCCTAAACATCTTATGCTGATGATTGAGCTGTGAATGTCTTATTGACACATCCTTTCTAAGGAAAGGTTATTATACTTAATTTGATATATTCACGCGACAGTTAAATAGCATTTCATGACAATTTAAAATATTAAGAGCCACCAGTGTTTTGACTACTCAAAATTCATTTGGGAAACAAAATTATTTTTAATTGTTCACATATATATTAAGTATTGTTCATAGCTAGCTAAAGAATACAGCAATGGAAAATGAGTTCCTTATCACAGTCTAGTGCTACTGTCACATTACATGCTTGTCTAGCAGGTCAGAACAATTTCTAGATAAAGGTCAGAACCTGCTCTTCTGTGCTGAACCACTGCTCAAAACAAAAAATATATTCCCCAGAGCACCAAGAGTTGATCTGGCTGTTTACAGTAACCTTCTCTGTTTGTAAATCATATTTTACAAATATCTTGCTTTATCCATATCTGTAATTACTCTGTTATTTTAAAGCACACCATACTGACCCTGATTTGCTGAGGGGATTAAGAAAAGAGAAAGCAATATATTATTTTGCTTTTGGTAAACCCCCATTTAAAAAAAACATGCTTGTAGAAAATTATTTTCAACATGTGTTCTTGCTTAAAGTATAAATGCTCCATACACTCTACAGAACTGTTTAATAAAATACTCCTAAATCCAACCAAAGAAAATTAAAGCAAATTCATAAGGAAATAATTACCCTTGTGAATTGAGTCTCCTATTCTTAATAACCATGGCAATACTTTGAAGATCATCATATTCTCCTGCAGAGCAAAATTCTACTTTACCCTTTCATTTTCATGCTAGTTCCCTGATTGCAAAAGGACAGTCAGGATGACAGTCAAAAGAAATGTGGCTTACAAAAAGCGACAGGCTGTGTCTAAGCAATGCGGTATAGTTTCCTCACATATGAAAACGGTATTTAAATTTCTCATTTGGAAAAGTAATGGAATTTTCACCTTGAATCATGATGTTGTTTTAACAAAGAAAAAAAAAAAGAAAAAAAAAAGAGAGAGAGAGATGTACCTTGTGGTATTTGCTTTAAATTTTAAATGCATGCTATGGTGTTTGTTTGTTTGCTTGTTTGTTTTTTCCTGCCAGTGTTTTACATCTGAACATCTCATATAGATTTTTAACAGAGAACTAATTAAGAGAACAATTACTATATGCTGGTTTTGGCTGAAGCACCTTATGTAGCTTTCTTTATCACTAATGTCACAAAACAGGCACAGCTTGTAAACTACGCGGAGCTGCTAATAATCAGCTCTACTTAATGAACCATTTACTCATGGAAGGGCCAGTAAAAAATGTGTTCATTTTTCCATTTGCAGATATATTTCTTCTGTTCTGCCAATTAGCAGCGTTGAGTCTACATTCCCAAACTACAGATAGGTTTAGATGGAAAGAGCAGAGCTAAAATGCTCAATACAGGGCAACCAGAATACAACCAGAAGTGGCCTCTGTTACCTGCCAAGCCTTGGGCTTGCCAACACATTTTGGGGCAGATGCAAATCAGTATACAAATAAAAACTGGCTAAAAGTTTTTCTCTTTTTTTTTTTTCTTCTCGTGAATTATACTCTTTGCTGCAAAAGTTCAAATTTAGACAAGAAAAATGAGGAAATGTTTTCTCTTTCATATATTTTTGATTTTTTTCACAAAACATTGACAAATTTAGATTGTCAAACAAACTCCTTCGTTATTATCAAATTAAATGTCATTGCTGCATTTCTAATCCCGTTGAAGACACCCAAAAATGACAACTTTGCGAGGAGATGAGCAAGAGAAGAGGAGGTGTCAAGCCCATTATCTTTGAAGTCAATAGGAGGAAAGACAACATAAAGTTCTAAATATTTGTATGCTACTGTTAAGAAATGGATAGCTGCAGAATTACACAATTCTTTAGATTACTGTCTAAGAACAAATCTGTGGGAAAAAAAAAGATAAGTCTAAAAGAAGAGCAAACATTTCATATTATCATATCAGGATAAGCATGTTACACTTACCATGTGCTCCAGGGTATTTGTATATATCAGCGATGTAAAAGAATTTTTTAAACTGTTCAGCTTAACAACTTAAAGTAAAATGTACTTTCTTACACATTAAGAAAAATTACGAGACCCTTTTAGTGAGAAGCCTTTCAGAAGTGAGATTCAAAGGCGGCAAAGAACTCTCTATGATACCGTTCCCGGGCAGGCCGGGGGCTGCGCTTACATGTTGGTGTTGGCTGTAGACGTGAGCCACTCGCCAGCCAGGCCGATCATGTCCAGTCCCGTGGAGAGCTGGTTGAAGAAGCGGGGGTGACCTGCAAGGTGACGAGAGCGGCTCAGTGCCCGCGCAGCCGCCGCCAAAGGGCGGCCGGGGCCGCGCTCTGCCCGTGCCGGTGTGCGTGACGGGCTGACGTCCGCAGGGTCCCCTCCCAGACCTCTCCCTCCCCTGGGAGCGCAGCCTCTCTTAGCGTTAAACGTCTGGTGAGCATAACGAAGAAAAACTGCAAATCCCGCGTCGTTTATGTCCTCATTTACCTAATGATACTGCTCCCCAGAGAGAGAGCAGCTCGCGCTCCGTTAAGGGAAGGAGGCTCCGCCGCCAGCCTCAGTGCTGCCGGGGCCGACCGGGCGGAGCGGGCACCTACCTGTCCTCACACCGTACTTGAGCGTGTCCCGGCAATCCACCAGGATCTGCTCCAGGGACTCGGGGTTGTCTGAGAGCTCCAGGTTGAAGCCCTCCATGCCTTCCAGGAGCTGGTGCGGGTGGTGGAAGTCCAGCACTTTGGTGGACCTGTCAAACGTTTTCCTCACGTAGTTGAGGAGGATGTCAACGACCTCGAGCAGGAACTGCATGGTCTGCTCCTCACCATTCTTGGCGGGCAGCAAATCTGCGGGCAAGAGCGCAATGAGTGGTGCCAGGCCCGTCCCGGCGGGCACAGCCCAGGCAGCAGGGTCCGCATCTGCCCGAGATGGGCCCATTTCTCCCACCCACACTCCTCATCAGTGGCCCCTGCCAGCAACCCGCTCTCATTGCCGGTTTACTGAGAGGAAAACTAAGTGGGAAATCATTCTGCTTTTAGAGGCGAGTGCCTCCAGGGGAATTACTGCACCTGAGCTGGAGCGAAGCAGCCCACAAGTCTATAAAATCTAAAATGGGAGATCTTAACCAAGCATGCACGCAGTTTCCTTAAAAGTGGCCAAGCAAAAGCGAGGTGTGAGCACAGCTGCGCTTCCATGGGAAGCACAGGCAGACACGTTAAGGGATGAACCTGATCGGGGCAAGCAGGAGCTCCACAGGGTGCTCACCTCGGGCATAGAGGTTGGAGAAGTCCGTTTCGGTGCGCCTGAACCGGCCTTCCCGCTCGCTGTTCTCGCAGGCCAGTAGGCTCTTGGAGGACTGCTTCTCCTTCAGGGAGCTCACGAGGCGGCCCTTGTCCTCCAGGCTGTTGGTCCTCTGCAGGAACCCTACATTGTTATTGCAAGGAGCACAGGTCAGAGTTTTCTCGCTTGCCAGCATGTTTTGAAATGTCTACAGCAGCTCTCTAGACAACAGTGCAAAGTGGTGTTTGCTCTGGATCTAGCTAATGAGGTCAGGAATAAGAGTATTTATGGAGATTATTTGCCTCCAGGAGGCAGAGCTCAAAATGCCATCAACTGCAAGAACCCAGCCATGCAAAAAACAAATTTTCGTCATTTAGTGCAGTGGTAAATTCTTATTAAGTCGATCAGACAGATTCCACTTCAGTAATCAGCCACTGGAAGAGAGTTCAGGATAAGTCAATGCTATTTCAGCCTGCAGGCGAAGTTTATGGACCCAGCAGACAGGGGCAATGATGTATGATTGAAATGAGGGCCACTTTCACTTCTCTGGTGCTCTCGCGCGCAGGAGCCCTGAGCGCTCTGCGCCCCGCGGGACTCTCCGGGCGGCGGAAGCGCCCGCAACCCCTTCTCTCTGTGCCCGGGACCCCGCACCCCAAGAGCTGCCGCTTCCCCTCCGAAGACGGCTCTGGTGCCAACGCCGCAGTGCCCGGCGCCTCCTGCCCTGCAAGGGGCCGGGCAGCACCACGCGGGGCAGGAACGACCCCCTGCCTGAGCTCTGAGGTCGGGGAATGGGGGGGGAGGCGGGGAGGCGAGTGAGGAGCGCGGGCCGGGGGCGCTAGCAAGGCGGAAGCGACACTTCACAGTTTTCATGATTTCTTCCGTTAAGGCTGCTCAGCCGCAGTTTCCCTTTACGCTTTTAACGACGGTAACGAAAGGTTCGGCTTCCCCGAACCGAGCTGGCACTACTGGCTATGCCTCGGAACCGGCCTCTGAGAACACGGCGGGGCGGCCCCGCTCCCCCGAGTGCCAGCACCGCGCCGGGCCGGGCTGGCCGGGAGGACGCTCCCTGCCGGAGCGCGAGGAGCCGTCGGGCGAGCTCGTCGGGGCCCGGCCGGCCCGCGGGAGCTCGGGATGGCGCGCGGCAGCTCGGGGATGTCGTACTCAGTGCTGCGCTGTAGCAATAGCCTGCTGCTCAATTCTGTTCCCCTATGATGCTCTCAGAAATATAAATTGCCAATCCAGAAAATTAATGCAAGTCAATCTCTCTTCTTGCTCAGATTAGGAGCAGCCATTCCGGTTTGATGAAAATTCGTAGTTTCGTTATAATTACTTGTGACGGTTCCTGCAACAAATCACCCGCTTCTTCGGCAAGCGCCGTTTTCCCGCTCACCAGGTGCAGCAGGGCCTTACGGCCGGGAGCGGCCCAGACACCCCCTCCTCCGCAGCCCCTTCGTTCTCGGGGCCTGCGGCCTCACGTTTTTCCCCCAGCCCGTCTTTCCTCACGGCGCTCGGGGGGGGCAGGAGCCAGCAGGAGAGCTCCGCAAGAGAGACATCAGCCGTGCGACAGGCAGCCCGGTTCAGAGCCGCCACCGTCGCGCAGCGCCGGCAGCGCCGTGGGGCGATGAGCGCGGCTGCCTCCCTCGTCGGGGGCGTTAACGGGGGCGACGCGGGCGGCGGTTCGCGGCTCTCCTCGCGGGTGCCCCCCGCCGCCGGAGGCACACGGGGCTGTCGGAGCGTGTCCCTATTAGGGCGAGCGCAGTCCCGCTCAGGGCCGTTTTCATTGTTTGCACTGAGAAATACCGCGCTTTTGAAAGCGGCGACATCTCCTGTATCCCAGCGCGACCACGAATCCTGCGTTGGGAACAGCAGCACCTGCAACTCAGGACTGACCCCGGAGAGGCGAGTCCAGCGCCTTCCCCGGCCCTGCCGCGGCCGGAGTTCGTGCCCCCGTCACGCGCAGAGATGGTCGCTCCGGAGCTGTCTGTAGGGCCGGGAGGCGCCGCCCGGGGCGGGGGCTGCAGACGCCCCCGGGCCGTTGTGCTGTGTCAGGTGGCGCCGCGGGTGCCCCAGGCGGCGGGGTCGGGGTGAGGGATGCGGCGCCAGCCCCCGGAGGAGCCGCCTTCTCTCTGCGCTCCGTGGCGCTTCCTACAGCCACGTCGAAAGCTCCGCGGCGGCCGCGCTCCTCGGACCGGCTCCGCTGTCGGATGGAGAGGAGAGCAGCTAATCCTTATCCGCCCACTTGTTTGGGGAGAAATGATGCGTAAATCCCGAGTAGGTAATTGCCGAAAATACCAAGCACACGATAATCAGGAGCAGACAGAAGGACGCACCGTATGGTTCAAGAGCTGAAGCCCTAGTTAAAGCTACTTTCGGCACTAATCCGCATGGAAAGGCTAGTTTTGAGGTGTCCACTTTCCTGCAGCATTATAACTCCATAATCTGGAGGCTTTGGGGTAACGCCTTGTGAAAAGTAGGGACGAGAGGTATCGATCGCCATCGTTAAACGTCGGCTTGTTCACATCTGTAATTCGGAATCACTCCGGGCACTTGAGCACTTCACACCAGAGGCAGCGCTCCCTGCGCTTTGCGGGGGCCAGGTCCGAGCAGAGGCAAATCATCGCGGCCTAAGCCCCACGGCCAGGGCAGGTATTCCATGAAAAGCCAAGGCAAACCAAAGGCGGAGTAGGGAGAAAAGGAAAACCGAAAAACTCACACAGCGACCCAACTTTCGACCCAGGTCGAAGGCGAACACGACTTCGTTATTCATTTGGCGTTCCCTTCACAATGCCCTCCAAAACATTTTTTTCTCTCTCTCTCTCTCTCTTCTCCTCTCTTCTTCCCTCTTTCCCCCCACCCCACTTTCTCGAATCCCAGAACGTTTCATTTTCGCGCTTTCGATGTAGGTCCAGAGCTGTGGGAAGGGCGGTGGGGCGGCCCTCCTCCGCAGCCCGGCCCCAGGCAGCGGTGCGTTACTCCATCAGTTCTGCTCGCCGGGCTAGATTAAAACGATGATGAGGAGCCCGTGGCCCCGGCCGCGAGGGGCTGGCGGGGAAGCGCTCCATTAAACTCAGAGCAGGAGCTATTTATAGAACCAAACGGCTGCTCGTTAATGTCGCCTGCGGGTGCCAATGAGCTCTCTAATAGGCACAGGATTAAAATATTTTGCAACCTGGTTCTTCATCAGTCCTAACGTTCTTGTAACAAAACGCATGAATAAATGCACTCCAACTAAGAGGGGCTTCGCTCGTCTCTTTGCTTGGGTAAAACGCTCATTTCTGTTAGGAAACAGTGGTCTCCTTCCCCCCYCCCCCCCCCCCCAATAAAAGCCAGCGGGGGAAACGGGAAATCATTTCTATTCATAAGGGGCGCAGGCTAAGCGAAACGGCTCTCTCCATCAGGAAACTGAGATTTGCCTGTTTGTCTCGCAAAGCGAAGGCGCTCCAGAGGAGGAGTGGGGAGACAGCTTGTTATCTGCAAATGAATCTCTGCTGTACGTCGCAACCTGCCCGCGAGTGTTTCCCCGCATCTTGGGCAGCGGCTGCCAGCGCTATCTCTCTTGTGCAGCGAGCTGACATGTTGCTCTTAATAAGGACCCCGTTAATCTTTTCCCCGCCAGGAGATCTGTATTTTCCAGCCCGATAAGGCTGAACATTTCCAGACGGCGAGTGCTGGCCCCAATCCCGGCTCGCTTCTCCCCGCCGCCCCGCTCGCCTGAGGGGCGGCGGGGCGCGGACTGGGGTCGCCCTGGCCGTCGGGGCCTCGGCGTGGACGGCAGGGGGCGCCCACGGCCACGTCGAGCCCGCCTCGAACGGGAAGGGATGGGAAAAGAAGGAAAGGGAAAAGATGGAAAGGAAAGGGAAGGGACGGGGGAGGCGGCGGCGCGAACTTACCGCATATCTTGAGGCCGATTTTCCGGGTGCACCCATGGGCCACGCCGCACCACGTGTCGTAGGCTGGAAGAGAAGGCAAAGAGGGTCCGTAGGGCAGTGGCCCCGGCAGTCTAGCCCCGCGTCGCCCCCTATTTCCTGACGTCCCCAGCACCACTCATGGCCCCAGCGGCTGCCTGGAGAGTTTCAGAAGAAACGGCCGCCTTCCAGTGGGCTCCATGTCCCGGGTCAGTACCTGGCTCACTCAGGGCTCTTTGTCTCTCCGCTGACACTGAAGTGACACGTTGCCCGTCGGGAAGAAAGGGAAAGGTGTCTGGGACCAGAGCATCTAATAATTTACTGGCAAGCATCCAGGGAAATAGCAGCTTAAAATAAACTGGCATGAAATGGGGTCGCCGAAGAGTTCAGGAATTAATTGGGTGAGAAATAGTATTTGACTAGATGATGGAGCCCGTCCGGCTGAGGCGCGGCCCGGCGGTGGAGCGCGGGGCCCCGCCGCAGCAGGGCCCGGTCCTGCCCGGCAGGAGCCCCGGGGCGGCCCCTCCCTCGCGCCGGGGGCTCCGGCCGTGCCCAGCAGAGCGGGCAGCGCAACGCGCCAAACCCGCGCCCGGCCCGACGGGGCGCCCGGGGCGGCGGGAGGCACCCCGGGGCGGCGGGAGGCACCCCGGGGCGGCGGGAGGCACCCCGGGGCGGCGGGAGGCACCCCGGGGCGGCGCCGCCGGCAGCACCGGGACGGGTGCGCAGGGGCGGCCCCCACCGGGCAAGGAACAAGGGCAGGGACCGCTCCCCTTCCCTGCCCGCTTCCTTCTTCTCTCCCACCCCCCCACTTTTTTTTTTTTTTTTAATGGCTAATATCGCAACGAAAGACAACAGTCTCATCATCCTCATCGGAAGGAAAAAAAAAAAAGAAAAAAAAGCTGTTTTTCGATAGAGTGCTGCCTGTCGCCCCCTCCCCCTATTTTTTCCAGTTGCAGAATAATCACAATAACGACGCCGCTGTTCATGCCTCAGAGCTCCGGCAGCGCTCCCAGGCTAAAAGCCATTCCCCACTTCGCGGTGCCTGACAGCCTTTCATTTCTTACCGATGCCCCCTCTTTGTCTCTGATGCTTTATGGCATCGAACCTCTTTATTCATATATATATATATATTTTTGGTAGACGGCTGTCTGTATTGTCGAGCCAGGGCTATAAACCGACTCTCCATCCACCTGCAGCAGCCTCTGCTTCCCACTCGCACCTCAATAACTCAAGGCAAATTCAGAGCAATTAGGAATACAAGGCCTTAAAAGCTACAATTAGCATCCAAATTTCACTTGATTATAGGCTTCATCTGAAAGGCAGCGGTTGCATTTGCATTTATAAAATGCAAGGCGGGGGGGATGCTCTTTAAGCTGATATAACTTCACCCTTTAACCAATCCATATTCTCCACATCGAATCCTCCGATTTTTGACCATCCGGAGGCTTCGCTTTGTTGCCATCCCCCTTGGCTGCGGTGGGAGCTGAAGCTGCCGGGGAGGTTTTTCCCCCGCCCAGGTTTCGCTCCGCTCTGCCGCGGCCGGGACGGCGCCTCCTTTGTGTGCGGTGCCCTGCGCACCTGGGGGGCGGCCCGGCCCGCATCTCCCGTTTCCTTCGCAAATCGGCCTTTCCCAGCCGAGCCGAGAAAGCCGCCAAGGGGCTTAAAACAAGAAAGAGAACAAAACCTACTTGTGGGTCGCAGATTCGTTGGGGTGGGGTCCGGAGCGTCGTTGGAGGACGATGGAGCGGAGGAAGCCATCGGTTCAGAAACGCGTCGCTCCTCGGAGCCTAGCTTTGCCTCCGACGCTGCTCCGAGGGGCGCCCAGGAGAGAATCCCCTGCAAGGGAGAAAGGCGGCTTTAGGGTCCGCTCCCTCGGCGGGGCGCCCGGGGCCCCGTTACGTGCCAGAGGGCTGGCGGCTGCGGGCAGCAAGGAGCAATTTCAGTCCCGGCGAGGCGGCAGCGGGGGCGCGGCCGACGGGCGGCAGCCGGGACGGGACTGGACCGAGCGGCAGCGGCGGGGAGATGGCGGGACGAGCCGGAGCGGGTGCCGGGGCGCCGCCTCCCGCGCAGCGGCGCTCGGCGGAGCGCAGAGCCCGGCGCAATTACATCAATGAGGGAGGCAATTACGCGCCTCGCCTCCAATTGGAACCAATTTACAAAGCGGGCTCTGAAATGAGCAGCGCTGCCAAGCTGAGCCTCCTCCCGTGCCCCATCGCCCAGGGCTGAAACGCGCGGCAGGCGCAGCAGCAGCGGGGAAAAGCGACAAAACAGCAAGACATACATGGCATTCAAACATTCAAGGCACTCAAACGCCCAGCAGGGCTCTCCGGTGCAGGTAGCGTTAGTGGTAGAAACGCAGGAGGAGGCAGCTCTGAGGAAGATGCCGGACTAGCCCTGCTCCGCGCCGCTGGTTCCCGGCGGACACGACACTCCGATAACCCAAATTGGTCGCTGATCGAGAACGACCGAGCCAGTGTTCCGTTCCTCTCTTTTTCCCTATGGCTGCCCGAGATTTATTTTATTCTCCTTTAAAGGAAGTCAAGGTCACAGTAACGAATGAGCCCGTTCTTTGTTAGCTGGTCTTCAAAAACCGGTAACTACTAATTCGTTTTCGTTGCTGGGCGGATTTACGCCCGCGTGAAAACCCAATGGATTGAGGGTTTCAAAAGGAAATAGGTATCTTACTATTTTTCGTTTTTTAAAGAGAGAATGAAAAAAATCCAACCAAACAAAAAGTAATCCTACGGCAGGAGAGATCTGCCAGACAATGCCTGAAAGTGGAGTAACAGGTTAGCTCAATGTCTAGGCGCTGGCTGTCTCAAAATGCCCGTTCTTCCTCTGTGGCTATGGCAGGGACCACAATAGGTTTTAAGGAAAACATATCCACATCTTCAAAATGCATCTCCCAAAGGCTTGAAAAATAGGATGTGGTTTAGAGGAGACTTACCGAGGGACAAGCGGACCGTTCTCGCTCCTGGCGTGCAAGCAGGCAGGGCGACTCCAGCCGGGAGCGCCTCGCCGCTTATAAGCAGCGCGGGGGACGCCGCCGGAATACCAATGGCGCCGCGGAACTCCGTGCGAGATGACCTTTTTCCCCCCAAGTCTTGGGATTTGCTTTTTTAAAGCGCGCATCGGCGGCTGATGTGCTCCGACGCAGGCATGAGTCACAGGGGGGCGGCGCTCGGCGCCGCGGGCGCGCAGCACGTGCGGAGCGGCCCGCAGGCCCAGCCGCCCGCAGCTCCCGCCCCACGCCCCGGCTCTGGCCCCGCGGCGTCCCCGGGCAACACCTGCAGCCCCGGCCTCGCCGGGGTTGCTGGCGGCCGTTGCGTTCCGGGAAACGCCGCTTCTCGCCAAGCCCGTTCGTTGGGACTCAACTCGGGAGCGCGTTGCCGTCGTTGCTCGCGCTCCGGCGCCGCCCTTGCACCCCGCTAGCCGAGAAACTGCTCAGGCGGGTCCGTGCTAAATGCACCTCAGCAAAACCACCCCCTCCTCAGCGCCGTGGGAGAGGGGCCGTTAGGGACCCCTCGTTATTTCCCTCGCCAGCCCTCGCCGCTGGGACCAGCTTCCTCCGCGCAACTCTCCGCCAGAGGGTGGCAGAGGCTCAAAGACAGAGGCGCTTTTTGTTTCCCCAGGGCCAGGGAACACCTGGATTTCCGTGACTTACCTTCAACGCTTTCGTTAGACAATGTTTTATACCAGACCAGCTTTTGCTAAAAATGGAAACATTAAGACAGCCGTTCTTTTCTACTCCTGACAACCCGAAATTTCACTGTTTTCCCACCTCGCTCCCCAAAGATGCTTTGCTTACAGCTCACAGCAGTGGCCGTGGTCGTATTTCAACACGCAGAGGTAGCTACACAGATGGTTAAAACCAACCTTGCTATCCAAGATGACACACAAGGGGCCGGGAGGAAGCTGCAAGGCGAAGGGAGGAGGGAAAACAGGCTGAAGGGTCGGAGGATTTCATCTCGAGCAGGGGGGCTGTGCAGCCAGGACGGCTGACACTGTAATGAGCGGCAGGGACGTGTCCTTCTTCAAGGACTTATGGGAAAAAGTAGGAAGTTAAGGGCATTTTTTGAGATATACCTGGGCCAGTATTAAGTGGCCAGGCGCGACGGAAACGCTGAGAGCCCAAGAGGCAGCTTTTATACATAGTTTTAGAGGTACTAATAGCTCCAGCTGTTAGTGCCGGGTTTGCACGACGAAACAAGCATTCTGGCTACCCAACGCTGTCAGTCAGTCAATAACTCCTCTCCAAAATAGGACCCTTTCGCATGTGTTTTCTATAGTTTTAGAGGCAGTTGCAAATAATTGGGCAAAATGTTGACTGTATCGCACTAGACATAGTAATTATGAAATTATGACCAATTGTCTCTATAATCGTTAATAAACACACGTGGCTCGGGAAAACCGTGGCAGGCAGAAACGAGCGAGCCCGTCTCTGCGCTCAGCACCGCGGACAGCGCCCAGCGCCGCCCGGGGGCCGCGGCGGGGCCGCGGGAGCCTCCAGCTCGGCCCGCAGCCCCGGAGCAGCCCGCGCTGGGGGCGCCGCCGCCCGCGCCCAAAGCGCCGCGTGCCCTCTAGGTGGTGCTGCGCGCCCAGGCCCGGCCTAGCCCCGGCTCTGTCCCTGTCCCCGGGCAGGCCGCTCGGCAGCCCCGTCCTGACGCCCCAGGCTGCTGCCCGTCCTTCTGCTCCCCCCGCTCCGCTGTGTTGCCCGTCCCGGTGTCACTCGTGCTCCAGCTGCTGGTGCTCGAGGGCACCGGGGCCCGGTTACGGAGAGCACTGCGCGCGCTGCGGGGAGCGGCCGGGCTGGGTCCTCGCTCCTACCTCCTGACATTTACCGAGCTTGGGAAACAGGGCAAATATGCATGGGATCAGCTACGGGGAGCAGGGTGCAGACGTGTCCATAACTGGGGCTTGCAACCACTTGCCTGCATTAGAATTTACTTACGAAAGCCAGATCAGAGACTCTCTCTCCTTCCACTTCTGTTTGTTAACTGGATATGCTAAAATACGGATCTCCAGTTCCTTGGGAAGGCACAGGAATAAATAAAAGGGATATAATTAGTATCATTAGCAACAGCAATCAGTGATTATACAACGGCTCTAACAGTGGACACGTAACTATGAACACAGAGCAAGAGAACATTGTTCATATTGAACAGTGGCAGTTGGCTTGAGTGCTCATTTTACCAGGAGCTGTGCACAGTATTCTAAATAACAATTAAATAAATACACAATATTTTAAAGAGATAGGAGGGCCTTTTGCCTGCACTTTAAGGAGTTCAAAATGTAACTACACACCAATTTAAAAGCAGTGGGGGAACTAGGGCAAGACAGTCCACCTTAATACTTGCTTATTTTTTTTCAATTTATTTCTTTATATTCTGAACTATAGTCATATCATATACACACTTATCTATGAAGGAAGGAAATAAATAGGTCTTTTGCTGATTTTTGTGACAGTTTTTTTTTCCTCTCCATTTGGTAAAATGTATATTTTAGGTGATAGGGAACAAACATTCTCTTTTCTTAAAATACAAACAACACGATGGATACTGAACATTACTGATGCTCCTGGGTTGGGTTTTTTTTTTTTTTTTTTTTTTTTTTTTTTTTTTTTTTTTTTTTTTTTTTTTTTTTTTTTTTTTTTTAACCACATAGTTATGATTGTAATCCATTATCATGACTTTTACTGCAAACTACATTCATTGTATTGGGTATCTCTTTTTTCCATCTTTTCTAGTACCCAATGGCTCATTTACCCACAACTTTGATAGAACTCAATAGATTTAAATGAGAATTTTACTTAAATCTTTACTTAAATCTTTACTTAAATGAGAATTTTATCTGGTTCTCACTGGCATTGCTGAAAAATCACAGATATAAATTATTATCTTTGTAACAAAAATGATCACAAGAAGAAAAAATAGTGGACTACTGCTCAGTTATTTGGTACTGTTCAAAAGAATCTGCAAAATGGAAATCAGGGTGAAACCACCAATTTATAACTTGTGCTCTCCTTTTTATGTCACTCAGTGAAAACTTTTTAAAGGTAAGAGATATGTTTGCTTTGGTTTTGTGACTAATCAGTCAGTGATCTATCCAAGTGTTCCATATTTAAGGTCATATCCATTGCTTGGCAGCAGCAGATAAGCTGCCAGCCAGGACATTCTGCACTGCTCTGAGTAAGGACATTTAGAGAATCTGCTGTACACAGTTTTACATACTTTGTAGCATTTTTTTTTTTTTGCAGGATGTCCCCTTCCTAGCATGTGTCACCATCCATTCTGATCTGTTTCGTCTAAAAAACAACCCAAAGAACAATCCATTCCCTAAACAGCAGCAGCAAGAAATGCCCCGTCAGCACTACCAAGCAAACATGAAGGCAAGCAAAATCCCCTCCCAAAGCCCCCGCCACAATACTTCCAAGCCAGAATAAACTAAAGAAAAAAATTTAAGACAATCTTATTTATCTAGATGATCACATTAAAAAAATACAATTATGTAAGTTGCACTTACATAATGCAAGTAATGCATTACTTCCGCAATTGCAGAATTGCGATTTTAACATGAAAAATTGAAACAGAAACAGAAATGATAACATACTCAAAGTCTGTTTTCTGCCAGCTTTAGGAAATTATAACTATTTTACCTCATTACTGAAATAAAATAGCCTCTTATTAGCAGTGTCTCCCTTAAACTCTGTAGGGGCATTAGCTTGGATTTCCTCCTTGTGATATATTGTTATAAGTGTTACATGTCTCATTGAGCAGTATCTCCTATTCCCATAGCGGGGCATTGGTTTATATTTAGAACATTCAGTAATTTCAGTAATGTTGTTGTAAGACATAATGCAGTTCAGCTCATCAATCCCAGAATTACTTTGGAGAGCTGGAATCTGGACATCATAAACAATCTTCAGGAGATGAGAATGTGTCTTTTTAGCTTGTTTTTAGCAGTTTACCCCAAATAGTAATCAGTAGCCAGCAGAATAAAAGTCTTTTTGCAACATCACACCTGAAAAGCTTGATTCTCCTGGTATTTCTTTAGCTACAGCATTATAGAAATCTGAATAAAATATTCTTTCAAAATAAAAGTTAAGCACATCCGATCCCCATCCCGTACTTTGACCCTTCAGAACTTCCATGAAAACCCTCGTTTACCCAGAGCTCTTGTTTACTCTCATTGACATTTTGGTAGCTGCACTGGGAGGAGACAAGCACAAAGAGAAGGATCATGTCATCTGCGTGGATGTAGCTACTGGGCGCTAGAACAAGAGACATAATTTAACCTTGCTATCTTACAGTTCACATTGAGGCTGAACAAAGTTTTAAAGCTCGTGCACATCAGATAAGAGCAACACAGCTTTTAACGATGAATCAAGCATAACCTACCTCATTACAGTCAATACCCACTTACGGGTAATCTATCTTAAGGGAGACTTAATGCTTATAAGGGTTTAAAGGAAATGTCTAGGAAGGGAATTGCAAGTGTACTACAGACAGTGCTGTGATAACTCTGACAGCCGAGTTTTCTGCAGGGCAGATAACATTACAGCTCTCCTCTCACCTGGCTGCAAACACAGAACTCCAACCTAGGGCTTCATTCTTTAGTATTCTCTTCTCAGTCATATGATATTTTTTTCTTCACAGATTAATAGTCTTTTTGAACAGAAATCAAAATTGAAACTAAACTAAACTGAGGATGAGTTAACAAAAAATCTGAAACATTTGACATAATATCTTTGGGAAAAAAGGCCACAACTTGAAAATGTAAATAAAAGAAAAAAAAAAAAAGAAGAAAAAAAAGAAAATACAAAGTCCTTCTGGATATTATTTGACTAGTGACAACCACTCAAAAGACTGGGAAGCAAGTATTTAATAAGAAAGCTTTTCTAAAAGAAAATACATTCATAGTAAAAATTAGGTTTGTGTTTTACCATTGGGTACATACCTAACTTAAAATAGTTACCAATATAAGCT